GGGCGCGGGTCGGGCGTACTTCCCACCTCGCCCACCCTGGCTTGGGGCGGCGAGCTCGGTGCGGGGCTGCGGTCGGAGGAGGGGAGAGGTTTCGGGTGGACCCCTCAGACGGCGGCAGGCAGTTTTCGAAGGCGCGCACGAAAAGCAAAACTCTTCCGCTCTTCCACACGTAAACGCCAACGTCCTACGGGCGGCCACTTTCTCCCGCCCCGCCCCACTGCGCTCTCAGGCTCTCCAGAGCCCGCTCCCGCCACCGCCGACCTCAGCGAGAGAACTGCGAGCGCGCGTACCTGCCCCACGACTACTGACACTTGACGCCCGCCTCTATTTCACCCAACTCCGGGGGGGCGGGGCCCGCTCGCCTGATTGGCAGCGCCGCCGCGAATCCCGAGGCCTCAAGGCCGGCCGGGCCTGAGCGGCCAGCCTATGAGCAGGGAGAGAGGCAGCCAGGGCCCCGCCTCCGCCGGCCCGACCGCACCCCTCTCGGGCCACGAGCTTCGCGCGCAGGGCGGCCGCGCAGTTTGTACACAACTTCTCTGACAGATTGGGCTGGCGGAGCTGGGGGCGGAGGGAAGTAGCGGAGCGGGTGGAATCTGGGAAGAGGGGGAATTAGGGTGGAGACGCGGAGGGAGAGCTCTTCGCACTGTTCTCTGCCAGGATTAGGAAGAAAAAGAGTATTGCACGTCTTAGGTGTTGTGCAAGGACCTGAAACTCAAAAGCTGAAACCCAGAAGGCAGCTAGGTGGGGGCGCTGAGGCTTTTAGAGATTTGTCTAATGAGTGTGTACTTTTAAATATCCGAAATATACTTCTCTTTAGCAGAAAACTAGGGGCGGTGTGATAAACAAATTTAAAACAGCTCTTGTCTCATGTATCTTTAGCAGTGACTGTATCCATTTAACAAGGCAAATTCAGAATGCCTGAATAAAAGATTTGATGGGAAGCGTTATTTTCAAATCCTCGCATAAAAGCCTGAGTTTTTCCCACTCCTTCAGGATTTTAATTGCTAGACGTTTTCCCACACATTTGTACCTCCTATCCGTGTGTGGGGAGGAGGGCTTGGGCCATATGAATTTTGAAGTTGCTAATATTTAAGCCATGTTGATTCTAGCCGAAGCATGGAATCTAATTTAAGCACGACTGGCTCAAATGTGTACTTAAATAGACATTACATCTTTGACTTATTTTTGCTAGCACTGTATGTTAAAAAAATGGACTTTAATATTTACAAAACAGAAACCTAGCACATTTACCTCACATTGTGGCACCTTTTCCTACGAAGAGACAACCAGAAAGCCACAAACATAGACACATAGACACTGAAAACTGGGAATCCAAATTTGTTGGAAGGTAATAGCCAAATATATTACCGTCCATTTACAATGTTGTTATAATGGGAGGGTGAATTTTTGCCAGGAATCACCTAAGGAAACCACTTCCCTTAATCCTTAATGTTCTTGTACATGATTTTATCTGGCTTATTGGGAGGACGGAACAATAAACTGCAATAAAAATGCTTGTGATATTACTACAAATGTACATATGTTGACAGCACAGTATACCATTAGACAGTTTTACATATACGACAGCCTACTCATCGCTTCAGAGTAAAACAGCTTTAAAAAAAAAAGTCTTTGAAAAAAACGTTCACTTCAAAGAGCATATCTATCAAAGGTATGGATCTCATTTTCAATGGGTAGAAAATTAATAAGCACATAAAGAAATGTATTTATTATTAGAACATATAAAATTATGCTGTAAACTAGGTTTTTCTCCTTTTCCTTCTCTTCCTGTTGATACATGATTCATTTCTACTAACTGTGACCACTGCCTTCAGAGAATGACTGATGACTACTTTCATGTTACCAAAGTATTATTTAATAAGTGCTTTTGCAAGTTTTTCTCTAACCAAACAGCCCCATGCTGTCCACCTTCATCTTTAAAAAGCTGTCTTGCTTTTCTCTAATATCAAACCGATCATGTAATTAATTAGCTTAGAAACAGATTATAGAATTAGGATGGGATTTAATGTAACTCTTTTAAAAAATTGAGCTCTGAAAGATTGTTAGTTACTTAATTCTGATAACATCAAACCTAAATGTGATGTAGATAATTCTTAATAGAACTTTTGTGCTCTTGTAACTTTAAGCTAAATCTAACTTAGATTTAATACATTTGGTAGCTGTATCTTAATGTGCTTTTAAACCTATCTAGACCTTTCCTTTTGTCTTTCTTTTTACGAGAGCTTCAGTGGCCTGGTATTTCAATCTAAGTTTTCACTGCAATAAAATCCCTGTATTTTACTGGAAATGCTTCCATAATTTCACACCACTTTTTAACATGCTTTCATTTACAAAAGCTTTTTCATTGCAAAAAAAGAAAAAAACACACACAACTAATATTGTTTTTAATATTTTTAGTCTTGTTAATTGTTTCATATTTCCACTTTTCATAATGAATATAGATATGAAGCTAGCGTTGGGGTTCTTATAGTAACTGAATATATTCCTTTTTGCTCCAATACAGTAGCACCTTTTAAAATTTCATTTCAGGCATAAAGATTCATGAAATAGGGCTGCCACTTTTAAGTAATAGTTTCTCTGAAATGCCCTGCTCTGCAGTCTCACAGAAAATAACTAGCTTAGCACTGTACAATAGTACGGAAATTGGAAAGTAATCCTTTCGGAGACATTTGCCATGTGATTCTGAGCATATAAAGAACATGTTCAACCAAGCTTCCCTGCTGTTACTTTTAACATAAATGCTACAGCTGCAAACCTGTTTCATCGACTTAGTAAAAAGGGTTAAAACTTGATAAATATTTTTCAAATGTTCCAGGTTCTACATTGGCATGAAGCCAGACAGAGTGAATGGACAGATCCTCAATTACTTTGAACTTTCTAGTTCTTTGCATTCCTTCCCGCTTAGTAGTGCTGTACCATTAGGGAAGATGGGAGAAAACAAAAAACAAATGTCAGGTTTCAGAAATCAATTAGTGGCCTGGCAGTGGTGTGTTAAGTGAACTGTGCCAAAACAGGGGATTCTGAGGGAATGAAATAAAAATGTTGAGTGCTCAAGTTAGGTAGGAGGGTAAGCATAGAAGCAGTGTGCATGCTTAAGTCCTTAGTCACTGGGCAACACAGATTTAGTCTTAGAATAAACCATAAGTGTCACTATCTTTACGGGAATAAATACGGATGAATATGCGGGGGCTGAACAGGCATTCAGTGATGGGGGAGGGGGTTTGAAGGAGGCAGTGGAAAAAAATAGATAAATAGCTTCTGAATGATGAGATGAGGGAAATATGAAGCTATCACTAGGGCAATGTTCACACAACGACACGGCAAAAGGAATATCTAAATTCAGTTGTTTGGCAAATCTAAATTCAGTTGTTTGGCAAACAACTGAAATGTCAGAGAGAGCTCGAAATTAAGAGGTATAGAGTATCACAGCCAACAAAACTGTATTCACTTCCAGTAGAAAAATATTCATAGAATATTTATTTCTGCTAAATCAGTATCAAATTGCCAAGTGATCTTGGGCCACAGGAAAAAGAACAAGAATAAACATGAAAAATAAAGTTTTATACGGGAGCACACTCTTCTCTAGGGTAAGATTATTTAATTAAAGTGACTGTTTGGTAGTCATTGATTGTCCACCCCTGTTAGAATCTGTTTCAGTGAAAACTTAAAACTATTGTAATTATTGTCCTCTCAAACATTTCACATCTGTAGTCTTTGTATTTTTTCATTAATGGCAACCACTTAAAGCCACATATCAGGAAAAAAGTCATTAAGGAAATAGCCTGATAAATAGAAGCGTCAACTGAGATTAGTTGGAATTTAAAGCATTTTGACTCAAAAGATTACGAGACGAGAAAGAAGATGTTCTGTTCATTGTTTTTGTGATGAAAAAATATGCAATTTAAATAAGACTAAATACATCTATTTATATTAATTAAAATTATGTCTTAAGACAACAACTTAATATTTTATTTTTGTAATGTCTCTTGCCTCCAGTTCTCAAGAAATTACATTTTATATTTCAGTTTGGATTTTTAAACATGTTCTTCTTAAAATATTTCATAAAACTCCCTTTATGCGCTTAATCCTAAGGATACTATAATTTATCTAGCCTAATTTTAAAACTCTACTAATATCCAAAAAACAGGAGAGTTTTACCTTTTGGAGAGACTGGGATTGCTTTTTCCACCTTGTTAGTATAATAAGTAGACAAAAGTGACATAAATATAAACGCCTGGAACCAAGTTATAGGCCAAGCATATTGTAGCTTAAACTGTACAGTATTTAAATTTTGACTCGAAACATGATAGGCAAGGTTAAGAGAAAGGTCTGAGCTAAAGTGGTTACACCAAACAATCTTTTAGAACATTAGGGAGGTCTCATCATCAGCATCACAATGGGCAGTGTTTTGAGCCAATTGCTGTTCATGTGATGACAAAAGCTGTAATGGTACCAGGCTGTGGGGAACACCCTGTGAATGCTCAAATGAACTGTGTGTGCATGGGTCACACGGAAATACTCTTTTAGATGTTGATTTATAGATGAAGTGTGTAAAAGTTGTGCCTAAGAGCAATGCGAGTTCTTCTTGCGTAAACTTTACAACTTTGGGGAAGGGCAATTTGACAATAAGTATGAAAAAGGCTAAAATGTAAATAACTTTGAAAATGATAGACAATTTCTCTTTTAGAAAAGGTGTATATGTGTGTGTATATATCTGTATTGTGTGTATATATATATACATGCCTGGCCCACCATACACATGTACAGGTATATATATACACACACACATATCTTTATATATAAAATTGGGCCAGGCATGGTGGCTCACACCTATAATCCCAGCCCTTTGGGAGGCTAAGGTGGGAGGATTGCTTGAGGCCAAGAGCTGGAGACCAGCTTGAGCAACATAGTGAGACCCCTATCTCTACAAAAATGTTTAAAATGAATTAGACATGGTGATGTATGCAGGTAGTCCCAGCTACTTGGAAGGCTGAGGTAGGAGGATTACTTGAGCCCAGGAGTTCAAGCTTACTGTGAGCTATGATCACACCACTGCACTCCAGCCTGGGTGACAGAGCAAGACCCTGTCTCAAATAATAATAATTAATTTAAATAAAAATAAAATTGGAAATAACCTAGGTTAGGTGTCCAACAATAGGGGAGTAGTTAAGCAATACATCCATACCATGGCTACTGTTATGCTACCAAAAAGTTGAGTAGTTGGAAAAAAAGGGGGAAAATTCATATTAAGGAATATTTAGTGACACAGGAAAACATTCATGCTATGTGTAGTGAAAGAAGGGAGTTTTATCAATATGTACCCACAAAGATGAAAAGAAAATACCAAACATGGATGTATTTTGGTGGCCTTCATTGGATGGTTAAATTATAGGTCACTGCTGGGCACGGTGGCTCACGCCTGTAATCCCAAAGGGAGGCCAACGTGGGTGGATCACCTGAGGTCAAGAGTTCAAGACCAGCCTGGCCAACATGGGGAAACCCCATCCCTACTGAAAATACAAAAATTAGCCGGGCATGGTGATGTGTGCCTGTAATCCCAGCTACTCAGGAGACTGAGACAGGAGAATCACTTGAACCCGGAAGGCAGAGGTTGCAGTGAGCCGAGATTTCGCCACTGTACTCCATCCTGGGCGACAGAGCAAGACTCCATCTAAAAAAAAAATAAATAAATTATGGGTCGTTATTCTCTTCTGGATACTTTTCAGTATTTTCTAGATTTTCTACAATTGCTATGTATTCCATTTGTAATCAGAATAAATATTTTAAATGAAAACATAAATATTACTTTCCTACAGTTAAGGGTTAATTGGAACTGTAGTAGGTGATGATCAAATGATTTTCCATTTGAAGCCAGTAAAGTGTAGCTATAACTTGCCAATACTCTGTACTGGGAAAACATGTAAGCTTTCTTAACCAAGCTGCTAGATTTTCAGGAATTTCACTGCAGAATGAAGAAGCTGAAGAGAGATTACAAAGGGGAGTCTGAAGTTCAAAAGGGATAATATAGGGAATGTCTGAAATGTAAATATGCTTTAATTCATTTCCTAAGTGATCAGCAAGACTTCCTCTACAATTATTTTTACTCTGTTATTTTGGGTTCTCATTTTACTTTGTTGCTCTGTTTTCTCATATTAAATAAAATAGGCTGTTTACACTATTTTGACAAAATGCATAGACTCTTAAAACCAGGTAAAGTTTATATGCATCTTTAAAGAGGTGTTTGTGTTTGGTTTCTTAAATTCTAAAATACTCACATAGAAGATTTGGCATGAAATAGTTTCAACTGGGATGTTACCTTTCTCTTTCTCTCCTTTTTTTTTTTTTTTTTTTTTTGAGACAGGGTCTTGCTCTGTTGCTTAGGCTGGAGTGCAGTGATGCAAACATGGCTTACTGCAGCTCCAACCTCCTGGGTTCAAATGATCCTCCCACCTCAGCTTCTCCAGTAGGTGGGGCCACAGGCCCCACCATGTCAAGCTAAATTTTTAAATTTTTTGTAGAAACGGGGTTTCTCCATGTGGCCCAGGATGGTCTCGAACTTCTGCACTCAAGCAATCCTCCTGGCTCAGCCTCTCAAAGTTCTGAGATTACAGGCTTGAGCCACCATGCCCAGCTCATACTATTGCTTCTCTAAGAGCCTTGTTCTCTTTTTTGGAACATAAAGTTGTTCAAAAGTTATTCCCAAATTTGGTTACTGAGATTTCAGAAATTAAAGTAGAGGGAGGGTGGGGGTGTTTGTCTACGAACATGATATTTAAAACATATTCTAGAGGCGCAGCAAGATGGCTCACACCTGTTATCCCAATGCTTTGAAAGGCTGAAGTGGGAGGATTGCTTAAAACCAGGAGTTCAAGACCAGCCTGGGCAACATAGCAAGACCCCAGTCTCTGCAACGAGTAAAAAGAAGAAACTAGCCAGGTGTGGTGGCACACGCCTGTAGTCCCAGCTACTTGGGAAGCTGAGGCAAGAGGACTGTTTGAACTCAGGAGTTTGAGGTTACAGTGAGCCATGATTATGCCACTGCATTCCAGCCTGGGCAACAGAGTAAGACCCTGTTTCAAAAACAAAACATTTTCTATTAAAAATTCAGTAGACAGCTGAATTTCTAAGGACCCACCCCCCAGCTCCCCACTGTCGTGACTACAACTCACACATAAAACATACATATACGCCAGTCTTTATTCTAAATTATTCGGCAGATTGGTACCTGCAAATATTTTTTGAACACTCTGTGTTCAGCAGTGGTCTGTGCAGAGCACTGTTGCAGGTCTTAGAAATACAAAGATGAATAAGATATAGTCCCTGTCCTAAGCACTGCAAGCATCACCTGATAGGTAACCTCACTTCTCAGATACGTTTCACTGCTTTCCTCAGTGAGGAAGGAAGTTCAAACTCCTCAGCCTGGGACCTTGTGCTGACCCCAGCCTATCTTCCCAACTTTGTATCTCACTATCCCTCCCCTGCTCTTCTCCCATGAACCTTAGGCTCTAACCATATGGATTATTTGTAAATTTCCCAAAAGCCCCTCGGGTTTCCTCCAACTCTAATGCCTTTCTTTGAGTACATATGTCATTGATATGATTTGGCTGCGTCTCCACCTTAATCTCATCTTGAATTGTAGCTCCCATAATTCCCACGTGTCGTGGGAGAAACCCGGTAGGAGCTAATTGAATCATGGGAACGGGTCTTTCCCATGCTGTTTTTGTAATAGTGAATAAGTCTCATGAGGTCCGATGGTTTTATAAAGGGGAGTTCCCTCTCACGAGTTCTCTCTTGCCCGCCACCATGTAATAAGTCCCTTTGCTCCTCCTTAATCTTCTGCCATGACTGTGAGGCCTCCCCAGCCATGTGGAATTTTGAGTCCATTAAACCTTTTTCCTTTATCAATTACCCAGTCTCAGGCTGGGCATGGTGACTCACGCCCATAATTCCAGCACTTTGGGAGGCCGAGGCGGGTGGATCACTTGAGGTCAGGGGTTTAAGACCAACCTGGCAAACTTGGCAAAACCCCGTCTCTACTGAAAGTACAAAAAATAGCCGGGTGTGGTGGCATGCACCTTTGGTCCCAGCTACTCGGGAGGCTGAAGGAGGAGAATTGCTTGAGCCCGGGAGGCAGAGGCTGCAGTGAACCGAATCATACCACTGCATTCCAACCTGGGAGACAGAGTGAGACCATATACACCACAAGGCCCGGCTGTAAGCCTACCTTTCTCCCAGGGGGTCACACCAGCTCCCCCAGAAAGAATTACCCTCTCTGTTGTTTTCTTCTCTTTCCCTTTGTATCCCCAGTAAAGCACTTCTCACCATCTGCCTTATACCTGTCGCCCCAAACAAGTCAAGTGGCCCTGTAGGGAACAAATGATCTTATCTTTGTGTTCCTCCTGATGCTTCCTAGGGTCCCATACAAAATAGGCAATCAATACTTGGTGAACCCCATCTTATTCATAATAGACATAAGAGGTAAAATTAAAAATAAAAGTTTGAGGTTAGGCACAATGGCTCATGCCTCTGATCCCAGCATTTTGGGAGGCCCAGGTGGGAGGATCGCTTGAACCCAAAAGTTCAACACCAGCCTGGGCAATATAGTGAGACCCCCATCTCTCCAAAATAAAGATAAATACATAAATTAGCTGGATTGGTGGCATTTGCCTATTGTCCCAGCTACTCAGGAGGCTAACGTTGGGAGGATTGCTTGAGTTCGGGAGGTCAGGGCTTCAGTGAGCTATGATGATCACACCCCTGCACTCCAGCCTGGGTGACAGAACAAGACCCTGTTTCAAAGTAAATAAATTAAAAATAAAAGTTTGATAGAATGTCAACTAGCAATGTAGAGGAAATAATAGAGTTAGAAAAATGGCTCACGCCTGTAATCCAGCACTTTGGGAGGCTGAGGTGGGCAGATCACAAGGTCAGGCGATCGAGACCATCCTGGCCAACATGGTGACACCCTGTCTCTACTAAAAATACAAAAATTAGCTGGTCGTGGTGGCATGTGCCTGTAATCCCAGCTAATCGGGAGGCTGAGGCAGGAGAATCATTTGAACCAGGGAATCGGAGGTTGTAGTGAACCGAGATAGCACCACTGCACTCCAGCCTGGCGACAGAGCAAGACCCTGTCTCAAAAAAA